TTAATGAACTGACTTAATATTTATTTCATGCTATAGTACAGAGCTTCAAGAGTATGAATAGAAAAGACATAGAGAACTTTATATGTAAAATTTGGCTATTATTAAATTTAAGGGGAATATGTCGATTAGTAAAGCTTTCAAACAACCAATCAAACCCATCATTAAGCATTTTTTTCTTGAGGGACCATATACCATACCAGAATAAGTTATATGTTTGCTAGGGATAGATAGATATATGGAAGTAAAAAGCAAAGCAGGAAAAAAATTGATGAGATATTTTCATTTTATTATATATCTACCATTATGACTCAACTACTATGTACATCGTACAATTTAGGTAAGATTAACTTTTTAAAAAGAGCAGCATATTCCATATTCTGGGACCATATATCAATGATTTTCATACTTTAGGTGATCAGAGAATGTGAACCTAAAATCTAAAATATAGTTTAGTTTACATGGTAACATTTGACAAGGTCATATATAGCTACAGGATTATGTTGATATACATAAAAACCCTGATTTCGTGCATATATGTGTTATATATATATATATATATTATACATATACTATTCTTAAATAAAATCTAAGAAATAAAAAAGTAAAAGAAACATAAACACTGACTAAGGGATATTAGGGCTATAGCTCATTGGCAGACTGCTTGCCTAATATAGGTAAGGCCTTGGGTTTGTATCCTAGCACTACAAGAGCAAAACAAATGGAAACCAGGGGTTGATATTCATACCATACATAGTAACACTTAACTACAAATAGTAAAAGCAAACATATAGGTGCTAAATAATTTACTTCTTTAAATAAAACAAATGAAGTACTAACACTAGTACATGCTTAGAGAAACATATAACTGAACATCATTTATCTTATTATTTACTCATTCATTCAAGAAATATTTTCTTAGAGGGAGCTTTAATTAAGGAGGAGGGAGAAAGATTAGGAGGAAGGAGGTAAAAATGTTAGTAAGGGTGTCAGAAAAAGTCACAAGGAATCATATCTAAGTTTATACATGATACATGTAAATCTGCATAGATATACAGTTTAAATGAAAGTTTTACGTCTGGAGTGACAATGCTCCCCACAAGAGCCACAGACTATCTCATAAATCCCCCTAACACCAGACATGAGAAGCTCCCATTGAGTTGTCCAAGAGAATCACCAAACATAGGCTGTTGCTATTGTCCACGGTTCCCCCCAAGAGCTTGAAGGTAAGTCCCTACTGCTGAAGACAACATGTACTTTGGACACAGGACCCAGAGGATCTGAACTGGTTCTGATCCAAAAGACTCTGCCCCGAGGACTAGTATTCATGGTACCAAAGGTGACATGTAAGCTTTCAAGGGAGGGAAGCAACAAGTAGTCCCACCCAGCTATCATGCCTATTAAGTACAACAATGACCAACATGGCATGGTATCTCTAAGGGTACAATAGTGGCATACATAGCTTGGTGGTAATCAACAGCTCAAGACAGGGTTTCTCTGTGTAGCTTGGGAGCCTGTCCTGGAACTCACTTTGTAGTTCAGGCTGGCTTTGAACTCACAGAGATCCACCTGCCTCTGCCTCCCGAGTGCTGGGATTAAAGGCATGTGCCGCCACCACCCGGCATTAATTATATTTTAATTTAAAAAATAAAAAAGATTTACTGGTAGTATAGTCTTGTAATCCAAGTACCAGAGAGGCTGAGACAGGAGGATTTTGAGTTTCTGGACAGCCTGGACTTAAGAAAAAGAAAGGAAATCTTTAGTAAGAAACTAAGATATTACAAGTACTGTTCCTGGAAGTTGAAGACTATAGTAAAAAAAATGAAATTTCTGTTAACATGAGACTTCATTTTATTTTATTTTATGGTTGAAATCCAGACAAAATTCACTGAGGAAACTAGTAAAAGTTTGTCTTTGTACTAGAGCATCTCTCTCCCATTCTATGTCAACCCTGAACAAGTTTTTCACTTGTTTCTAATAACAAAACATTGTCTAACTTGAATTTGGTTTAAATACTAATAGGCATCTTCCCTTCCAAAAATTATGTGCAGGGGTATCCTATATAAGGGGACTAATCATAGAAAAAGAAAAAGAATACTAGATACATAATAGCTCTCTAAGGGGACAATAGAAATCCATGACAAATACAAAACATTTTCATAGTTCTGCTCTAGACTACTGAATTAAATAAAACAATTCTAATGCTATGCTAGAAAATAGCAAAGAATATAGTTTTTTCTTTTCTTTTTTTAATTGAGTGGCTCATGACACGGTACATCCTCTGTCTCACTCATTTTTTCTTTTACTGTTGAGATCTTTGAAATGTCTAGACATTTCTCCTTGTGTTCACAGCCCTGAACTGAGATGTGCTATGGAACTTTGAGCAGCACTGTCTCTGCTGTTAGCATGTCAGTCACAGAACCTCTCTTTAACACTGCTTTAGAATCAGAGGAGCCGAGCACTGCAGTAGTCTGAAACAGAAGTGACTCTCTGGGCTTGAGTCTTTCAACCTGTGGCCTCCAGCTGCTGGTACTGTCGAGGGAAGCATGGGACCAAGCTGATGGAATGAGGCTTACAGCCCAGCTTTTGGCACTACACTTTGCTGGCTGCTGTGCAAGGAGCTGTGCCTCACATTCCTATACAGAACTCTGAAAGCTGTTTAAACCTCCATGCCTTCCCCACCATGAAGGACTGAAATCTTCCGAAATAGTGAGTCAAAATAAGCCTTCCCTCTCTTAAATAGTTCTGTCACTGAAATGAGAAGAGTGACTAACACAGGCTCTAAATGCTCAATCTTAATTGGTGACATTATTAATCTAAATAATAATAGCTTACATCTATCATTAACATAATTCTCAAGATTCTAAGCTAGAAAATACAATAAATAGCCGGGCGGTGGTGGCGCACGCCTTTAATCCCAGCACTTGGGAGGCAGAGGCAGGCGGATCTCTGTGAGTTCGAGGCCAGCCTGAGCTACCAAGTGAGTTCCAGGAAAGGCGCAAAGCTATACAGAGAAACCCTGTCTCGAAAAACCAAATAAATAAATAAATAAATAAATAAATAAATAAATAAATAAATAAATAAATAAGAATATAAAATTTTACTTTACATTTTGACCAGATGATCAGTATAAACCTGTTGCTCAAATTAAGTAGCAAACTATCAATACTACTGCTGTCAATATCCAGAATACCTAAAAATGATCAAATTAAGGAATGTTTCAGAAAACAAAAGCTTCATCAACATCTTAACTGCTGCTCCAAAGATTCATGTATTTCCTGTCTTTAAAAACATATTTATTACTTGTTATTTCAAAGTATAGTTAATTACTTTTTTAAAGCAAGAAACCAATTAGTTAACAGAGTTAGTATCACTAAAAGGTATTCTTTTCTGTCCTCATTCTAGTCAAACCAGGCTGGAAATTTCTAAAATGGTTCTGTTCTGAAGGAAAATAGTCAAACAATAATAAAAACCTAGCTAAATCCAGAAAATGGTAATGTACTAAAAATAACGGAATTATCAAAGGAATAAGGCAAAAGTACTATACTAATAAGAATCTTTCATTTAAATTCTCTGTAATCTCTCAAACGATCATGAAGAAAACAAGAAATTCCCAAATGGAGAGGTCACTAAATACCCAGCAACACTCACCCAACTATTGGTAGGAGACCTCTTGGAGACCCAGATGCTTGAATCAGCTGAAATAGTACCAAGTTTTTACTGATTACTCTTAACAAGGCAATGGAGCATAGGCTAAAACTCCATACTACAACAAACTGAAAGCTATTAATTAGTATTGACAACTCTACTTACTACCATTTTAAATGACTCAAAGGAAGAATAAAAAATAATGACTTCCAGTGTAAACCAAACTATACTCTGTGTTAACTTTAATCCTTAGAGATACAAGACCGACAATCATGTATGATAAACACTGACAGAATAGTTTTTCTAAATTAGTGTTACAAATCTTAAAGAAAATGCATCCCATGCTTTTTAAGATAATACAAATTCTCCAACACTGTTTCAGTAATACACAAACAAAGGCCTTTTGTGCTGTTGTTGTTATTTCAGTGTTTTTAAAACATAGCTCTTGAGGCCTTTTAATTATATTAGTGACTTTTGTAATCAGGATTTTCATAACTGAATCCAAAAAACTTTAAAGAGTTAGCAACTAAATGAAAGACTCAAAGATGAAAAATATTTTTAATATTACTATTTATATTTTTAAAATATGAAGTTATCAACTTAGCAGAAAATATATACTAGAACCTAACTTTAAGGAGGAGTAAAATAGAATCATTGCCAAGGTAAGGAGACTAAAGCAGTGTTTTCTCAATCTCTAGAAGTTGAAGAGAAAGGTAACCTCATCCCACACAAACCCAAATGTTCCTTTCTCCAAACATCCACATGGGGTTGAAGAAAGATAACGTATAGCCACGGGAATGGCTAGGTACAAAACATGGAAGAGAAGACCCTATACTTTTCCCAAGTCTTTTAATTACAAAAACTACTTTTGTCTTATAGATATGTGTCAAGTATGGGAATAAGTGAAACAAGACCCATTTGGTTGAAATATATCAGACAGACAAATACAGAACAGACTTTTTAATGTCAAGCATGCATACTCAAGCTGACACTAATGCAGTATGCCAGCTGAAAAATGATGTAAGAGATACATTATTAGGGATAGTTCTCCAACATAATGTATCTATAACTTCATCATCATCCAACAATTTTTAAGACTTGAGAATAGCAATAAAATAATGAAAGTCAGAAGCACAAAAATATTTTGAAAGGTACCTATGAAGGAGAAATTTGAGAACAGGATGTTGAAAATAAATAGCTAGCACAAGAGAACTGATAATCTTATTGGCCCTATAAGGACAAAGAAAGAAGTAGTTAAGAATAAGTAGAGACCGACAGATAAAAAAAAGTCTTCCATGAGAAAAATTCAAACATTGTAAAATTTTAAATGACAAAGCAAAGCATGCTAGTATTACCTTTCTTTCGAAAGAGTGCATTTAGGTAATTTTCTGCTTGGCATTCAATCTTATCAGTGTGGGACTGGCCCTGAGATGATAGCTCCTCTGTTGGCGTTGACTGTGAAGAATCAAGAGATGGTATACAATCCTAAAATTACAAGAAAGTAACATACCTAATTACTTTTAATTTAAACCTGAGTTCCAACTAAATATGTCAAAATTGTTTCAATGTTCAGTTGTTCTGCCTTTTATAAAATATCAAATTATACCCAAAGAATATAAAATCTGATAGGATTCAGGAAAAACAAATATACTTCTAACGGGTCAAAATAGCCTTATTCCTTACCAAAATTATGGTAAAATAATGTGTGTGTTGGGACGTGGGGGTGAGGGTGGGCAGGCACTGCTGAAAATTTTACTCTATGCATGCCAATGAAGTAATCCTGCCAGAGGTTTAACAAAGCAGATGAGCTTAAAAGATTCTTCTCATCACAACAGATAAGGAATCAGAGTTTCTCACCACACAAGAAGATGCTGGTTACACACATCTATGTCCTCTATACAGTAGGTACATATTTCATCATCAACACAGGATATACTTCTGATAGCCAAAGACTTTAAAAGTAGTGAAAGGGTTACAAATAGTAGCATATTATCCCCTTACTACCAACTGCTAAGAATCCAGAATGTAGAGTGGTCTTATATAAACTAGGTCTCCAAGCTCACCCTTGGATACCTAAAATACCAACCTGACCTAAAGTGAAGTTCATGAGTCAGGGAGTAATAGGAAATAAATGTGAAGGATGAAAGCAAACCAAACCAAAACCAACCAACCAACCAAACAAACAAACAAAAGAACAAAAACAAACAAAACAGAAAGAAAGAAAGAAAGAAAGAAAGAAAGAAAGAAAGAAAGAAAGAAAGAAAGAAAGAAAGAAAGAAAAGAAAGAAAGAAAAGAAAAAATAATGAATTTTAAAAGCTAAACTAAATGTTGGACATATTCTTTTCATTCAACAAAATCAAGTATTTAAATTTTCACTGAATCACAAATTATCAGAACAAATTAAGTTAAAAAAAAAGAACTATGTTACAATTGCATGATTATTTTAAAAATAATTTCATGGCACTAAAACTTACACTGACTGCTTCTCTCTGTAGGTTACAAAATGAACATTTTTCATCCATAGACCAGTCAGTCAGCTCTTCTGGTTCACAGTCTTTAAAAGAAGGAAAATATTCATTAAATATACTAACTTTATTAAAACCAGCAAAATCACCATCTTCCACAGCAATGGCAAAAGGAAAAATGAAAAATACAAAACCTAACTACTAAAAGTATGGGGAGAAAGTCTAACTTTCAAATTAACCTCTTGATATCAAGAAAAATAAACAATAGGCCATGAGACAAAATACCAAGAAAAATGAGCTGGTTATAGATTAAGAATTTTCCAACAGTAGAATTTTAAGTATCATCTAATCACTTCAAAGATCCACTCATCACTATTTATTCATTTCCTTTTTATTTTCATTATGACAGTCACAACAAAGGGGGTGATAGAAGGAAGAAAGGAATAAATTTTGCACAATCTGAAAGAAAATACAGCACAGAGAATGGAAGAAAGGACCAAAGGAGTCAAGAACACCCAGATTGAGAAAATGGAATGATGCCTACAAAAATAAGTAGCAATCTATTCGGAGATCAAAAATAAGGCCAGATTTTTTCATTTCCAAAAGCTTAGTTACAAGAGAGAAAGAGGCAGAAAACAAATAGGGTATATCACCCAATGCAAACCATGTACCATTCTCCATAGATTAGTGCTGCTCCCGGCCTTGGTCAGAGAAATTCCTGTTTACAGTGCTGACAGTTAATTTAGAGACTCATAATTCGCCAAAAAGTGCTGAGAACAATTGACTGTGAAGTGCTCAGCCCTACGGGACATTTTATCACATTCCCTCCACCCTGAGACTCAGGAAACACCAGAAACACCTTGGAAGAAGGAGCAGAATTTAAGAGCTGGAGCATGAAGAGGAGTGTTGTATTCTGGATGGGACAGAGCTATTGGACCTATGAACTCACAGAGGTAATGGTTACCTGCAGAAGACTGGGCTAATTGGACATTCCATCATAAATGCCAGTTAGGCCCACTCCCCCATGAGGAGTTAAAGGCAATTAGTAGATGCTGGCAGAAGGGAAGTCCTGTCTGCAGCAGTGTAGCCACTGTTAAGTTGTCCTTGCCCAAGTAAATAAATCAAACACATGCAACCAACTCTAATTAAACACAGAGAGGCATGAAAAACTTAGGAGAGTTGGGCAGAGGGGCTTGGTGGGAGGGAGGTTAAGTGAGAATAATGTGGACAGTGGAAATACAATCAAAGCACGTTATAAACATGTATGAAATAGTGACAATAAAATTTAAACCTTAAATAACTTTCATTTTCCCCCCTGAATACTAATACTTACAACCCAATAGTTCTAATATATTCAAGTTTCTGGAATACAAAAACACTTATCTGCTAAGGACATTTTAAGAAGGCATGGTAACATTGTCATTCTAATTACATTTAGTAGATGCACTGACTTCTTTTTGTTGTTGTTTTGTTTTTCAAGACAGAGTTTCTCTGTGTAGCTTTGCGCCTTTCCTGGATCTTGCTCTGTAGACCAGGCTGGCCTCGAACTCACAGAGATCCACCTGCCTCTGCCTCCCGAGTGCTGGGATTAAAGGTGTGTACCACCACTGCCCGGTTTAGATGTACTGATTTTTAAAAATCAATGTTTATAGCTAAGTTACACAGAAAATAAAGTATACCATTCCTAGAATGATAATGAACAAAAAACTGATTAATGTCACTCCTAGGGCCCTTTTACATTAATCAAACAGAGTGGATGATCATATAAATCTGTAGAAAGAATGTAAAAAATTTGTAGAAAGATTTTTGGTAGCACAATAATACTTACATCCATTTGCAAAGAGCAGTATGTGGGAATATTAAGATCCAGTACAGGGTAATGTACTTGAAGACTAGAAATCTAGGCTGGAAACACATTTAATAGCTATGACTTTTCAGGACACAAAGTTTTGTTTCAATTGGCTTATGTGTTCAATGTGTATTATATACTGTCAAACATTTGATAAGGTGTTTTTGTAGAAGACTAAATATCTGCTTAAGAACATATGGTCACTTTTCTTTTTTTTCTTTGTTTTTTTCGGGACGAGTTTCTGTGTAACTTTGTAGCCTGTCTTGGAACTCACTCTGTAGACCAGGCTGGCCTCTGCCTCCCAAGTACTGGGATTAAAGGCGTGTATCACTACCACTGCCTGGCATAAGTTCACTTTTCTACAGACAACTTCACACACAAAACCTTTAAGTAATCTAACAATTATTTAGATTCCTGGGTTGGGGAGATTGCTGGGCTGGGGAGACGGCTCAGAGAGTAAAGGCACTAGCTACACAAATCTCACAATTCATTTTGATCCCCAGAAACCACATTTAAAAAGCCAGACGTAGTTTCATGAACTTGTAATTATATCACTCCCATAGTAAGATGAGAGGCAGAGGTAGGAGAATCACTTGGAAGCTTGTGGCTAGCTAGCCTGGAATATGAAGTGCAACAAGAGACTCTGCCTTCAAAAGGTGAAGAACTGACTCCCCGAAAGTTATCCTCTGATCTCCACATGCACAAAAAGACACACACTCCTGCACACACAGACACATACCCCAAAAACTTGGGCGCTGGGAATGAGTCCTTATGGAACTTTAGTTATGTAAGCTTATGCTGTTTTGACCCTGGAATGAAGAAGTATGTATCATTCATTGCTGGGACTTTGAAAGAAAAAGTGTAACCCGACCCCATTTGAAACAGGCTCCTGCTTCGTAGGGTCCAGGTGGCCTGGAACTCATTATGGACCGGGATAGCTTTGGAATTGTGGAGATCCTCCCCTCTCCACTGCTTGGGTTACAGATGTATCCCACCACGTGGGGGCTCTCCCCTAGTCACCTGCACTTTTCACCATCCACCACAAGAACTTGCCCCAGGTATAACTCTGGGACGTGGAGTAGTAAGGAGAACACACAGACTGGAGTTCCGTTTCCTCAGATCACTCCTAAGTTAGTCACAGAGCTCAGAACTACTTCTTTAAGGTAGGATTGGTGTTGTAAAACATGACTTACATCAAACAGAACAGCTCTGAAAAGTCAAGAAATTCTTACTGATTTTTATTTTTATCATGGCTACATGAAAAAAATATAACATGGAGATTTTTTTAAAAAATGGATAAGAGACTTAGGAAGATATTTCAAACAAACAACAACAAAACAAACAAACAAACAAAAACCTGTTGTATGGGGGAACAGAGGGATGTCTTAGTGGTTAAGAGCCCTCACTGACTGTGTTACCAAAAGACCCAGGTTCAAAACCCAGCACCCACTTGGTGGCTCACAACCATCTATAATCCCAGTTCCAGGGATCTGATGCCCTCTTCTGGCCTCCCTGGGAATCAGGCACATACATGGTACACAGACATGGATGATGGCAAAACATATATGGGTGTTTTTTATGCATTAAAAATTAAAAAATTAAAAAATGCTCCAATGCATTTCAATACTAATGTATGTTGACACAGGTATGGCACTTTCAGATTAATTAAAATAACTATCAGTAGTAACATAAAAACTGAGGCACTGCATGCTAAGGCCAGTCTACTCATTTTAGTAGGAGTTCTTTAAAGAAAGAGTAACTAAAATAAGCCTCCTACATAAACACCTAAAGGCATTATATGCTGCCACACACAAAAGTATATAGTTCTATTTGTAAATATTTTTACTTTCTTGGTACACAATTTCTACTCTGAGCCCAGTGGTGGTGGGACATACTTTTTTTTCCACAGAAATGTTTGGAAAAGCAGATTTTGAAAAATCAACTAAAGACCAAATTTCTCCTCTTTCATGTCATTAAAAATAAATATGTAACCACCCTATGAAAAAAATGACAAATATTCATCTCTAAATTATCTCCATTTCAAAACTTTAATATGTGAAAACAGAGGCTCAAAAATTTTAAATAATGTACCTTTATAGAAATAGGTATGGTGGTATACACTTAATAATCCTAGTGCTCGGGAATCTGAGGCAGGCAGAATGACGACTGACAGAAGTTCAAGGCTGGCCTTTTTCACACAGTGAATTCCAGGCTAACCAGGGTTACAGTAAGACCCCATCAATACACACACGCGCGCACACACACACACACACACACACACACACACACACACACACACACAGGCTTATTAATAAAAGGCAATAAAAAACTACTAGTAAAATCTAATGTAGGCCAACTTTTCTATTGTGGTTTATACTCTTTTGATTAAAGTCTGATTCCAGTCATTTTATCTGTTCTGACTTGGAAGTTATCAGACTTTGAATTTTGAGAAACAGCACTGTACAGGGACATCCTACATACTAGTTGTGGTCTCAAGCAAGTACACTTTTCTAGGCTTTAGTCTCTTCTTTGGAACATTAAGAGAGTAATACTTGAATCTTAAGGTTGTAGGAAAAGTTAAATAAAAACATGTAATGTATCTAAGTTCAAAAGATGCAGCTTTCATTTATTTTGAACACTTTATTTTTTTTAGTATACTTTATTCACAGAATATAAATTTAGTTTCCAAAGACAAACTTCAGTGAAGGTAAATAACTTAGATTTTATTTTATATTGTTCATTTATTTTATGTTGCTCATTTTATGTCACTCATGGTTTTAAATTTACTGATTTCTGGGAAAATGCTGAACAATGCAGCTACAAAATAGCATTATGGCTTCAGCTGCAACTCAGTGGTAGAGTGTTTGCCTAGCATGCACAAAGGGTGGGGCTGAATTCTATGACACACATGTGAAGGCAAATATAATTTTATATGCTTACATCAATCTTTATTATGAAGCATTTTAGAAACTACATAGAAAACTCCACTGGTTTGTTTTTATTTTTGTGCCCCTTTTTTTTTTCTGGTTTTGTGTTTGTTTTGTTTTTTCTGAGAAAGATTTTGAAGTTGAGGGGGTAATCTGGGAAAAGTTGGCAGAGGGGAAAATATAACAAAAATACATTGTATAAAAAAATTGAAGAACTAAAGAAAAGTACAAAGGAAAAAATAAGAATTATCTACAAATCACACTACCAAGATATAATGATTCCAACATTTGCTATATATTCTCCCAATTTGTA